TTATTTATTGATTTCAGAGAGGAAGGAAGAGAGAGAGAGAGATAGAAACATCAGTGATGTGAGAGAATCATTGATCGGCTGCTTCCTGCATGCTCCACACTGGGGATCAAGCCCACAATCTGGGCATGTGCCCTGGCCAGGAATCAAACCATGACCTCTTGGTTCACAGGTCAATGCTCAACCACTGAGCCACGCCGGCTGGGCTATGGTTACTTCTTAATTGTGTTAGTATATTTGCTCCCTGTTGTAACTGAGGAATAGTGAAATGCAAATAGAAATGAATGCAGTACAGTCTCAGGCCAGGGATCCCAATACCCCTTGACTATGTCTTGGCTCTATGGAGTATAGTTTTTGATCCTCAAAATTTCAAAGAATGCTTTCCTTTTGCGAAAGTGTTTATACATGTTGATTACAACCCTTCTGATTCATGATGTGATGTTATGGGTTTGGTTCCCCTTGTTTGAGGAATAAAGGCTAATGGAGCAGGTAAAATGACAACACGGAAAAACATGTGGCTATTTGTAACAAGGTGTAATGCTGGCAGGTCAAATTTCAAAATGCCACCAAATAGTACAAAGGTCACATTCAGATGTGATAGTAGAGTCTACCGAGGGCAAGCACTTTCATGCACTCTAATGACACACTTTCAGAATTCAGTACCTCACTCACATCTGACCACATTAGTTATGTTACCCACTTGAGATACGTAACATGTATGTGTGTGTAGATGTGCTTTTCAGAAGTTTGGAAGCCTATAGTTAATAAGGTACTAACTAATAAGTCTAATTTTTTAAAATTTAGAATAATATAATTTTGCAAGTAGTTCATTTTTGAGATAATATACTTTATAGTCTCTTTATTATACTATCTACAACAAGAAATTAAGGTCCATAGAAACTTAGAAGTAAAAGCTCCTCTACAGTAAAACAAATAATTAGTGATAAAATTTAAGCTAAAACCTAAGTTTTTCCATCTTTGTGTTCTTTTCACCCTAGAGTGGTGTGACTCTTCATAGACATTAGTTATTAACAATAGAAGACCATTGGCCAACTGGTTGTATTTTAGGTGGTACATATAGTCACAAACTAGCCTATAAAGTTTGCTAGCCTAATTCTGTCTCCAGTGTTTCTCCTGTATCTCCTTCTGTCTGTTCTGTTTTATGTTAAGTAGCCGAGTAACTGGTTGAATTCATGCCAGTGCTGGCCAACGGATGAGCCAGCAATGAATCTGCATACAACATGCTATAGTTGGTGAATTTTAAACAAATAATTAGCACAAGGGGGCATTCCTCTCTCTGCCCCCAGGTTTTCACTTGGGAGGTTAAGGGAGTACAAGAGGGAAGTTTGATCTAGGAGAAAACTCACTACCCAGAGAAAAAACAAATATGACTTGAGAAATAAGATAATCTCTTTTGAAAAAAAAGAAAGAAAGAAAAATCAGTGATATGTTCTCTGGGAGAAAGGAAGAAAAAGCAGAGTCTGAAGGACAATGGAAATCTGTTGGGGACAAAATAGATTTGATGATAGGTATTTGAGAGAATATATCAAAAGAAACAATAAATTGAAACCCAGGTCTTTTGGGCCTAAAGGAGAACATCTTGTTTGTTAGCTAGCAGTAGTGCAAGGACTGTTAATTTGTCATCCAAATCAGGACCATTTTGAGAATTAAAGGTTTTGTGCTTAATAATATGCTGAGACAACAGATGTAAACCAGAGGGAGGGTCTGGTTATCCTGGCCAATAGCCAGTTGGTGAAAGAATGGATAACTTGTGCTTTGTCCTCAGATTTTCTAGTTCAGCAGTGGCCCCTTCTGGTTATTTGGTTAATATACCAGCCTGGTTTCACCAAAGACTTGGGGTTAAGTCATAGGGAATAGAGAAGTTGGGAGGTTGGGGAAACACTAAAGAGGGCAAGAAGCACATCTGGCATTGGTCTGACAAAAAGGATTCAGTGGTGACGTGGCCTAATATGGGGTGATTAGCTACTGGCAGATAGCCATTGCATCAGCAGCATTCTATGCTATTTCCACTGTCAGGAAATCTCACTTTGCCCTTGATGAATGCTAGTGGCAGAAAAACAACAAAATATTCTTAATTTTTATATTCTATCCTTTGTCTTTAAAGATCAAGTAAAGTGAGATCATAGCCACTCTAGACTTGTTTAGGAAAGATGGAAGTCTGTTAGTTACTTCATGGTCATGATTTCTAGGATGTAGATGTGAGATTATACCACTCAGATTTTGTTTTGTTTTTTGTTTGTTTTGTTTTGTTTTTTATAGATGAGGAAACAGGCTTAAAGAGGTTAAGAGTACAGAGGAAAGAGACTGGTTGGCAAGCTTGAACTATAACCTTTCTGACTTTTTAGTTCATCGTATTATTTCTCAGTTTTTCATTGTATTGGTGTATTTGTTTTATTTAAAAATTTTGTCTCTTATATTATAAAATCAATACATTGCCATGCTTAACATTCATAAAGTACAAAAAGTTAATATAGAGTGAAATGTCTTCCTTTCACCACTGTCTCACAGCCACCCAGTCTCCCTTTTATGGGCAACCAGTTTTACCAATTTTTGTGGATATATAAACAAATAATCTATAAATCCTCCTACCCTTTTAATGTGGCATGGTATATTCAGCCTTTCATTGAAACTTAGGTTGTTTCTTTTTTTTATGATAGTTTTTTGTTTTGTTTTTAAGTATATTTTTATTGATGTCAGAAAGGAAGGGAGAGAGAGATAGAACATCAAAAATGAGAGAGAATCACTGATCGGCTGCCTCCTGCACACACCCTACTGGGGATTGAGCCCACAACCCAGGCATGTGCCCTTGGATGGAATCGAACCTGGGACCCTTCAGTCCACAGGCCAAAGCTTTATCCATTGAGCCAAACCAGCTAGGGCAAAACTTAGTGTTTTTTTCTAAACTTTTTGCTATTACAAACAATGCTGCAATGAATGATATACACTTTTACATATATATCTGTGAGATAAATTCCTAGAATTGGAATAGCTGTGCCAAACGGTATTAGCATTTGTCATTTGACTTTTGATATATATTGCCTAATTGCCCATTTTAAGTTGTATTAATTTATATTTCTATCAGCAATATATAATTTCTCAGTTTAAAAGCTACTTGTTTATGGATAAACCTATCTGGAAAGAAAAGTCCATAAGCTTCCTGAGAACCAGTTTCCTCCCCCTTGATTCAGGGTCTTGAGTCACAAGGCAGGAGAGACAGGTATCTGATCCCCACCTTCAGTATATCTGATGAGACTCTGGCCCTTCTTTCCCAGAGTGACATAGACACTCCTACTGTTATATTCTGCTGCTACCGTGAAGTAGCTTTTCCTCTGTTCACATAGTAGGAATATGGTACTGGGACTCGTCAGAGTTGTCATTTGAAGCATGATGAACCATTATGTCAATTTACTCTCTATGTGTTTATTTGGATTTGGAATTAGTCTTGTGGTTTTTCTTTCATAGTCCACTACCACACACAAAAAATTGACAATCAGTTCTTTATTATTCTCACTAATGGAGAGAAGAATATTTATATATTTGATTTTCAAATACTTGGTATATCACCCTCTACTGAGAAAGTGTAACAGCATGCTCACTGTCAAGGAGAAATGCTTGAAGGAATTCCATCTGTTATCCCAGAGCAGGTATTGAGGGTGAACCTGGGACTGAGGAGCAATAAATTGATACCTGGTACTTACCTTCCATCTTTCTTAATCTCACCTTTCTGGATCACTCCTTACTCTCTGGGTCATAGTAGGGAGGCTTATTTTCAAAGCAAAGCATTAGTCATTAGTATTCAAGGCAGCTTGAAAATGAGAGAGCAAGCAGCCAGATTATATTGTTATTTTGTTCATGTGTAACTGAAGTTTAAACCTGAACTGAAGGTAAGGATTTTGAAGTTTTGGACTTACCTGTTGTATAACTCTTCCTTTTCACATCTAAAAATAAGAAACGATAATCATGAAATCCAATTGCCTAAGCAGTTTGGTATAACCACACTAACAGAGTTCATGGACATGCCGTCAAAAGGTGTTTGTTGCCAACGACGTCTGTGATGTTACTCCTCACAACACCTTAGGAGAGGTGTATGCTGGGATGGAATAGTCACACAGTGCCATTTCCATTTGTCGAATGAGATATTGAATCAGTGTATTTTTGTGATAAATTTTCTTTTGGATTTAGGTGAGCGACCTGTGAGAGTTTATGCAGATGGAATATTTGACTTATTTCATTCTGGTCATGCCCGGGCTCTGATGCAAGCAAAGAACCTTTTCCCTAATACATACCTCATTGTGGGAGGTAAGAAAACATCTGATGACTTTAGGTGCTGCCCAGAAAAAAAATTATAGTAGTCCTTTTCTTCTACCTTTATAACCTGAGTATATAGGGTCTTGTTTTGGTTTTTAAATGAAGGATCTAGTACAGCCTCTCTAAAACATGACGTATACGAACCTGGAGAGAGAAGTTTCAAGCTCAGTGACCTGAGATGTCCAGTGTTTATCTCACTGTTTTTAGCTGAATTTCTGTAGTCACAGGAGACCCCTGTTGCCTATTTGAGAATGACATTCACTCTGGATTTCAGTTTATCATTTTGAATCGACTGAATTACAAAATTCAGCTTAACAAATTTCATATGGTCCAGTCCAGTCTTATAAAAATATAATAGCAAAACATCTTATAAAACTTAACTGATGCAGAAATACATGCAGGTTTATTTCAAAGCCTGTTGGAGCCTCTCTTCTCCAAAGTGTGAACATACTATTTAGTGAGCGTTGCTCCTGAAGGTGTATCTTGGATTAGGGAAAGCAGTCACCCAGACTGAGCTACCCTGCAGAAGATTTGTCTCCAGGTGGGGAAAATGGTTACAGCTCCAGGGAATGGGAGAGGTTGGTGACTGAGCAGCGATAAAGCAAAGGGGGCTTTGACTTACAACTCTCTGATGTGGTGAACTCAGTTTGCAGTGATGAGCTAACGCACAACTTCAAAGGCTTCACAGTGATGAACGAAAGTGAGCGCTACGATGCAGTGCAGCACTGCCGCTACGTGGATGAGGTGGTGAGGAACGCCCCCTGGACCCTGACACCGGAGTTCCTGGCAGAGCACCGGGTGAGAAACTGAGCACCTGCCCCCTTTCCCCGTTCTGGAATTTCTTCAACTCTTGGGGCTGCTGGTACTTGGACTAGTTTTCCCCTAGCCTTATTTTACTTCTACCTTCTATGTAAATTTCACAATGAGGAAATGACAATGATATTACTACTAATAATAGTCATCCCTGACATTTATGTGGGGTTTGATGGTTTATAAGCACTTTTAGTTACATTATATATCATTTTCTCCCCATAACAATCCTGTTGGGTAATTATTATATGAGAACAAGGCCAGGAAGACTAAACAGTCTGGTCCAGATCACACTGTAGCAGGTCACACTGTAGAAATTGACTGCTTCAGGTAGGTGATCCCCACCCACCACCACACACTGTAGTTGTCCATCCTCATAGCATACCAGCCTCTTTAGAATAGACATAGCCCCAGCTACGCTTTCCTCACATTCCAGGAAATAAGACAGATAGACACAGACTACTCTCGTGTTGACTAAAATTTAGTTTCAGGGCTTTGATTTTGGGCTAGAAGTTGTGTGCAATCAGCAATCAGGGAGATTTCTCTCTTTTGCTCAGCAAGTTAGTATTATAAAGCCCCTTACCTCCTTTTAATTATCCCACATTAAAGCAACAGGTTACCTGTAAAAGGTAGTTACAAAAGATAAGAGGATTTGTCAGGTCAGGTTGGAGGCCCTCAAGCCTGAGAAACCCGCAGCATATGGTCAGTTTTCTACAGGGGTGTATGGAATGTTGAAGGTGAATTGTTCAATGAAACAGAAAGGAACAGAGGCAGCCAAAGTGCTTCAAAAGCAATACTTTTGAAGGATAGGCCTGAAGCTAAGGGGTATTTGTTAAAATCCTTTAGGATTAGGACACACCTTTTACAGTTCTCTAGCTTTTCTACGTCAACACTTAGTGGTGCCAAAGGTAAGATTATTCTCAGTAACACAGCCAAGCAGGCCCAGGCAGAAGAGGTTAGAGGAACTTCCATTTTGCTTTTCTTCTTGTTAGCAGTGTATTTATGGGTAATTGAGATGTTAGCTGAGAATCCCTGACACAGTCCTGATGAGCACATTTCACACCACAGTGGCTTCTGGGTGTTGGGTGTGGTGGTATTAGCAATTATATTAACAAAGGGTCTATGGCCTATTCAGGAAGGAGTAAGTAAGTGAGGTTTAGCATATTTTTCAGAAAGATTATTGATCCAGTGCCAGTGGTCTCTTCACTGTTGCAAGAGGTATTGACACTAGTAAAATGGTAGATCCTGAGACCTAAAGATCTTTTATGGCTTAGGATTTTCCATTTCTCAGGAGCATAGAAGTGTCTATTCTAATAAAAGGGTTCTTGGTTGCTATTTTTATATTCCCACTCCTCTCCTGGTCTGAGAGAGAAACCAGTTTACAAATCACCTCTTTCTCAGACTTCCAGAAACTTTATTTGATGAATTCTTATAGACCCAAGAGGATGAGATGTCCTTTCTTCTTTCCTCGCTGCCATACACTAGCACACCCAGCCCAATTTCCAAGCATGGTGACTGGTATACAGTGTGAAGGTAGCACCTCTAGTACACCAGGAGAAAGAGCTGAAAAGAGAAACTTGCTGACTTCATATTTATGATCCATAAATAATTAGGTTGAGTGGCTTATGAATGAATCATGGAATTAATGAGCAAAACAATGAGAAAGAGAAAATGTCCAGCCCTGGCCAGTGTGACTCAGTGATTGAGCTTTGGCCCATGCACCGAGAGATTGCCAGTTCAGTTCCCAGTCAGGGCACATGCCCGGGTTGCGGGCTCAATCCACAGTAGGGGGTGTGCAGGAGACAGCTGATTGATGTTTTTTTCTCTCTCTCTCTTTCCCTTTCTCTCTAAAAATAAAAAATAAAATAAAAAGAGAAAATGTCCATTTGAGGCCTGGCCTCTCCTTTTTGTCCTTTTTCTGAGCCTGAGAGTTTGTACTGGTTCTTTCTGCATGGCAGGTATCCTGGGTTATAAATGATGTTTCCTTATTTTCAGATTGATTTTGTGGCCCATGATGACATCCCTTATTCTTCCGCAGGAAGTGATGATGTTTATAAGCACATTAAGGAAGCAGGTGAGTAAGCTGATGTGCATATTCTCACTGTGATGTGTACAGTCTCAGGGGCAGTGACAGAGATTCAGCCACATGACTACTCCACAGAGAAAAGTTTATACACTGAGAAATTCAACATCCACTTTCAGGCCACACTTTGGATAAGAGGATAAGGTGAGCATAGCACTGAGACCCATCAGTTCTCAGACTAAACATCTACTATTGATATCTCTCTTAATTTCAGGAATTTCTCCAGCCCCATCTTTTTCTTAATATTAGGGCCATATAGCCCTTCCTTTCCTTAACTCCTTTCCTTTGATTGATTACTCCTTCTGTATGTCAGTATCACCAGACTTCCCTTAGTAATAGGAAAGGAAAGGAATGTTGCTCCCAGTTTCCATCTAGTCCTGCTGCCTGAGCTAACCAGAATGTCACAGTGTTTGTATGTGTTTTGGGGTTAGGTATGTTTGCTCCAACACAGAGGACAGAAGGTATCTCTACATCAGACATCATCACCCGAATTGTCCGGGACTATGATGTGTATGCCAGACGGAACCTACAGAGGGGCTACACGGCAAAGGAGCTCAATGTCAGCTTTATCAACGTGAGTTCCAACCTCATCCCAGAGTTCCCTGGCCCTATAAGACACACATTGCCTCCTACTTCATCTGAGCTGAACTTACTTTTCAGTTTGCTATAGTTATTTCCTCCAAAAGCTCATCGAATGTTTGCAGATAACACTATGCTGAGCTCTTTACAAATATAAAACAGAGGCATTTTCTGCCTTTATGATCTAGTATTAATACATTGATATAAAGACACACAGCCAATTCAATAAATGAGAATTTGCAACTTTAAAGTCCAACATGTATATCAAATACATTAATAGTGGTTCTTAGCTTTTTTATTTATTTGATGTCCTTTTGAAAATCTGGTAAAAGCTATGGATCCTCTCCCTGTGTGGGTAGGGACACACATTTTGCATGCCATTTCTCAGGACATATAGACGTAAGTTTTAAAATTTGATTTATAGAAGCAAAGTTTACCTTAGCTTAATATTATCCTTTAACAACAAACTGCTATACATTTTGTGTATATAAATTATACCTCTATTAAAGTTTATTTAAAAAGAAAGCTGCTAACTATATCTTCTACATTAGTAGCTTACCAAGCTTCCTTACCTGTTCCTCATTCTGTGAATTATGACTGGGTGAAATGGTTTCATCTGAATATGATTTATCTATACAGATAAACCCTAGCTGTTGTTAACCGCCTACTACAGAACCTTTTCTCTTTTTTCAGGTGTTTAAAATTTAAACATATTTCCTTAATCCTCTATGATTGGGAAATTATGAAAATATTTTTCATTTGACTAAAGATTCCCCCACCCCATTTCCCTTCCTTAGGGAAGTTGGTAGGACCAAAGAGTATCATCTTTATTTTGTGAATGAGCAAGCAGACCTCCAAAAACTAAAAACAACTCTTTTAAATTCATAGAATAAGCCAGTGGTAGAGGAGAAAAATCCAATACAAAATGAACTAAGTAAAGATCTACTACTTCCACTTTCAACCTATTATAGTGGCTTATTCTTGGCAATATTCTACAGTGATCTGGTTCCCTTTACATCTCCGTCTAGAATATGGTTTGGGTTATGTTGGGCATGTTTATGTTCTAAGTCTATGTTTTATCTTTAAAAAATGTTACTTCATTTGGTTGCATACATGTTACTGGGCCTACCCTATTATTTAGTTTAGTTTGGATTCCCATGATGTTAGAATTATCACATTTTTGTATAAGATGACCATCCAGAGCCTATCTTACTTGTTATGCTAGAGAAGTGTGGAGTAGATTAAGCAAAGTGAAATTCTAAAGACTGAAAAGAATGTCAATAGAGTGATGAACCATGTTTCTTTCCTCCCTTTGGTATGAAAGGTCAGAGTGGGTATTATTTCTTAAAACAGTTCTTTCTTTACCTAGGAGAAGAAATACCATTTGCAGGAACGGGTTGACAAAGTAAAGAAGAAAGTGAAAGATGTGGAAGAAAAGTCAAAAGAATTTGTTCAGAAAGTTGAGGAAAAAAGCATTGACCTCATTCAGAAATGGGAGGAGAAATCCCGAGAATTCATTGGAAATTTCCTGGAAATGTTTGGTCCGGAAGGAGCACTGGTATGTTTTTTCCAGCTGGATAATTTAGGGAATTTTAGGAATATGTAGGGAATTCTCATGCGGTGGAAAAAATGATAGAATCCTTGAGCAGAAAGGGACATCCACATTCAGAAGTTATCTGATCTGTTCCTCTTATTGGGCAGAACTATATTTCAACTATTCCCCAAAAGTTCTTTCAAATCTTTACAGAAAGAGGTTACATATTCTCCTAAATAATTTTGCCAGCTGTCTAGCAACATCCAAATCTGGTGACAAGATAAGTAAGTAGCCTTCCCCACTTCAACACTATAGTTTTAGATAGAAGGAAAGGAAAGAACAAAGAACAATAAAAAGAAAGCTGCCTCCACTAATAAACAGCTGCCTCAGGATCGCTGGGTGAGGTGGGGATTCTGTCCTTGAGGAATAGCCAGGTTTCTTCAAGCCAAATAAAGGGCGTATGTGTAGCTATTCAGCAAGTGAGCCCTCGGTTAGATGTCAGGAAGGATCTGTTTGTGAGAGTGTTTGGATACCAAAATAGATTATTCAGGGAAAATATGGAATTTCCTTTTCAGAGAACTCTAATACTCAGGAAGATACCTTTTGTCTGTGTTAATTCCTTTGTTTGTGCCTGGAGCCTGGACTACAAGCCAAGTAGGCTTTTAAGAATTCCTTTGACATAGAAGTCAGGATTAGGTGACTAGATACAAACTTTAGATAAGCTGTATAACATAGACCACTTTAGACAGAAAATTACTTAGAAATATAGTGACTTTTGACATTGCAGAGGGCACTCGTGATCATGTGAAGTCTCAGACATGCCAGTGGTGACTTAGTAGGATCCATGGGTTTCTTCTAACTCTTCCTTTTGGTCTCCCCAGAAACATATGCTGAAAGAAGGGAAAGGCCGGATGCTGCAGGCCATCAGCCCAAAGCAGAGTCCCAGCAGCAGCCCCACTCGTGAACGCTCCCCCTCCCCCTCTTTCCGATGGCCCTTCTCTGGCAAGACTTCCCCTTCTTCCTCCCCAGCAAACCTCTCCAGGCACAAGGCTGCAGCCTATGATATCAGTGAAGATGAAGAAGACTAATTTTTCAGCCCTCCTTTCCTCTCCCCTCCCTTTGTCCCATCACCTTCAAAAGCTCTGTTGAATTCCAAATTGTGATCCCAACAATAAACTTAAGGACGGCTACAAAGGAAAGACAATTGGGCCAGAGGACCTCAGACGGGGGACCAGACAGCCCATTCTCCAAGAGACATCACCCACCCAAGAAGGAGGCTGACTACACCCTAGAGGCCTTTTCTGCATCCATATACCCTTCTCATTGACTTTGCTTTACTGTTTATGTTCATATGATCTTGACAGGGAAATTACCATTTTTATTAATTTTTAAAAATTAGTCTTTAAAATATAGTAAATAGAACTAATTTTTTTTTTTTTTTTTTTTTTTTGCCCCCGAGGAGTGGGCAGAAAGAGGTGGTGTAATACCCAGAGGCCTTTTCTTCCCAATAACACTATAAGTGTTTGCCTTCTGTTCTGAGGCAAACTGGCTTGCCAAATAGTTCAAGCAATAAGCCATGCTGATGGGTGATTTCGGGGTGGGGGGTGGAATATAATTTTTATTTCCTTGAAAAAAATGCTAAAAGCTGGGTAATAGTTACAAATCCCTAACGGTACTGCTGGCACATGTGTCAATGTGGCTGTGGGAGAAGGAGGTCTAAGCCAAACTTACTCCCTGAGGAGTTTCTTGTTGGACCCACTGGGGTCCATGAAGACACTGATGGGGTTGGAACCAGAGCACATGGCATCAGCTGCAGCTTTTCCGCTGTATTCATCTCAGAAGACTCTGTGGCCCGTTACTTGGGAGCTCTTGTCAGTCTCTTCCCTGTAATCTACCGCTAAAGGAAGGAACACTTTCAGGGTTACTGTGATTGTGGAGGGGGTGGGACAATACTCAGTCCTACACAGTCAGTTTAGATTCATTTTCCCCCAGAGTAAGTCCCTGGCCCTGCTACTCCTATTTCTATGCTTACTACCTAGCTTTTTACAAAGGATACTTTGTAAATGTCTGTAATCTGAACATGATTTGTTAATCCATGCTGCTCACAGCCATATTGAGTAGAGATTTGCATAGACCATGGACACGACCGCATAAGGAAATACCCACCTTCCTATCTTGAACTCTGCCCTCTTAAGAATGTTCTTGACTGGAACCAGTGCTCCACACGGTGTTTGCTTTCCTCTGAGAGTGGCAGCTGGCAGGGACTTTCTTTCTTCCACGGCCCCTCCAGCGAGGCACAAAGCAAGGGCTCACATTACAAGAATACAGTAGGTTCTCTCTCCCCCCCACATGTGCCTGCCTGGTGGTTGGCAGGGGGATCACCCCTTAAATCTCACCTCAGAGAATGCTGAAGCTTCACACTTGCTATTGAGCTTGAGCTCATCTTACACCGCCAGCAACCTACAGCCGTGTGACTCAGACCATCATCCATCAGGAATCTTGTAGCTGTGTTCAGGGGAAGACTGCTTATGTCCAGGCCCCACCCTGTCACTCATAAATACCCCTTGTGGGGGTGGAGTTTTAGTGTTTTCAGCTAAGAAAACCACATTTTATCTTTTCTTGCCCCTCTGCTAGGGCTGTGAGCATCTCAGACATCTCCCTTTCTGGTAAAACCTGCCTGCCTGCACACTAGCACTACCTAGGTTCTGAAAACTCAGATCACCCAGAGGCAGAGCACGGCAGAGTAGAGGGACAAAGGGGGGGAACCTCTTTGTCCTGATGCTTATGAAAACTCATTTTCTAACACATTTTATCTTTTCTTGCCCCTCTGCTAGGGCTGTGAGCATCTCAGACATCTCCCTTTCTGGTAAAACCTGCCTGCCTGCACACTAGCACTACCTAGGTTCTGAAAACTCAGATCACCCAGAGGCAGAGCACGGCAGAGTAGAGGGACAAAGGGGGGGGAACCTCTTGTCCTGATGGCTTATGAAAACTCATTTCTAACTCTTCTCATGAAGTGCTATTTTTACTATCAAATCTGGTTTACATGAGCTTCGGCTTGGAATCCTTTTCTTTTTAAAGGTGAAATTAATCTTGGCCTACATTACTCAGCTTCATAACTTTTCTGCCTTCTTTGGGAATTCTGTCTATTTCAGTCTTACTCTCCCTGGTATAGAAAGGCAATGAAGTCAGCACTGAAGCCCACACTTGTTCCCTTAAAGTGCACATCTTATCCGGTGTATTTGGAAAGGGAGATGCCCAAAGTGTGGTTTTCCTCCCCGTAGTCACTCCTCTCAAGTACGTACGTTATCTGGGTCTCAAATCTTTGGGCCCTCCTCCTCTGCTCTGTCAATGGGCTGCTTTTGGCATGCTGACCCTTGTGATATGACCTCCAGGCCAATAAGCTCTGTGAGATGGCTAGGGCCAGCATGTACACAAGTTCTTAGAAAACTCCCTTGCCCCTTTTGGTGAGCCTCTACACTACAGCTTCAGTCTCCCAACACTAGTATATCTTCAAATACTTTTGCCTGAAAGCAAAAACTTTTAAGGTGTGGCATGTTAGCTGCTTTGAGATAACTGTGACCCTAGGTGCTGGATAAAAATGGGTGGATGGAAGAAACTGTTGGTATGATGCATTATTTGATAATTTGTGCCTAATTAAATGTGGTTGGCACACCACAACCATACCAGTGACTTGTAAATCTTCTAACATTAATGTCTGAGGTTGTGGAGCTGTCAGCCTGAATAGGCCAAATGAAGCAGAGATGGGAGAGCCTTCAAAGTTGGATGGCCCCAGGGCCTGTGTGCAAGACACACAGAGAATGGAGAAGGAAGTCCTGTCAGTGCTAAGGAGGTGCCATTTCAGCAGTTTTCCTTGAGATGGGCTGGGCAGAAAGATTGCTCTCTGCATATACTAGACTCAGTAGCACTTGAAACTTCAGAGGAATAGGAATGGATGTGTTTACTGCTATAGTTGCTTCTGACAGCTAGAGTCAAAGGCCACTATTTTGCTAAGGTTTGGGTAAGAAAGTCGGGGATGTGAGGAAGTTAAAAATCTAGAAGAGGAGAAGAAATATGAATGAGGTCAAGAGAATTTTTGACCTTTTCTGATTGCTGATAACTTCTTGGGCAGCTCCTGAGTTACATTTTTTAAATTTTACTTGTGACCACACAGCTGGTCAGGCAGCCTCTGGGTATTCCCTCTACAACAGCCCTTCACAGTGCTTTTGTTGCTCTGTGCCTGTATTCTCTTGATTTGTGGGTAGCTTTCGATTTTCTGGAGCTCATTGCCTTTTTAATCCTGTTCCAGATCCCATATTTAAAGTCTTTCCAAATCAATTATACTTCGCTCCTTTTCTTTAATTCCCTAAAAGCCATAGCTGCTATCTTTTCTGTCAGCACACACTCTTACCAATACATATAGGAAAAACAAAAGAAAAACTCCCTTAATGTTTTTAACTAATGGTATTTTTTTTAAGCTTACCAATATAAGTATTTTTGAAGGTTATATTTTTCAAAGTCATACGATGATTGTTTTTGTTTTCTCTCATAGAATAGATTGTCATGGGATAGAGAGTAGTCCCTGGCTTCTATTTTTCCAAATAAGTAGAACATGTTCTTTGGATTATGCTATTAGATGTTAATTTTCTTTAAAAGAAGAAAGATTTTCTGTCTGCCAAATTTATATATTAGTACTCAGATTGGGTAGAAAACAAAAGTGCGAGGTTTAACACTGAGGATGACTCAGGTTGTGTTTCTTTAGGTTTGAATAGGATTTCCCACCCTTTTTTGGAAGCACTTGACTGTTTTGAACACAGAGAATTGGTTGGTTGGATTACTTGTATTGCGGAACCTGGGTGTGGGGGGTGGGGAGACAAAGTCTTGGAAAGAAATGCTGGCTTCGGCATGAAAGTTAACCCTATCACCAGTGCCGACGTCTGCGGGAATGTTTTCCTCCACTGGTGTCCAGTATATTGTTTTCCTGTCCGAGTATCATTAATTTGTTCAGAGTTATTCTGGCTTTTGTCATTTAGCCAAATAAAAGCAAAATGGTTTTACCTAATGTTTTATTTTCTGTGTTTTTGACCTGATATACATGTGTATGATACATTTTATGTATTTGGGGCTTTTTTAAAAAAGATTTTTATTGATTTCAGAGAGGAAGGGAGAGGGAGAGGGAGAGGGAGATAGAAACATCAATGATGAGAGAGAACCGTTGATTGGCTGCCTCCTGTCCGCCCCAAAGTGGGGATTGAGCCCACAACCCGGGCATGTGCCCTGACCGAGAATAGAACCGTGACCTCCTGGTTCATAGGTTGGCACTCAACCACTGAGCCACACCGGCCGGGCATATTTGGGGCTTTTACTTATACTCTCAATTCCTTTGCTTTTGCATCCTAATTTATCTCCTCAAAGTCAAGCTCCCTGACCATATGATAGGGGGATTCCTTTTGCAGCTTGGCACAGAAGACTTAAAAAGCCATTGTCCCACAAAGGGAGGCTGACCCAGCTCTCCCAGGTCTAATGTCATCAGTGCTCTAACGACACATCTGTAAGGAAAAGAACATCTTTGATCTGTTCTTCAGGGACCTGCTTTCTTCAAAACTGTGGGCTTATACTACTTTGCCTGACTGAGTTCTCTCATTCTTATACCATAAGCTTTACCAATATACAAGTTTTAAGGGCTAATCGTGGCACCCATGGGGGTAATGTGCCCCATGATAGAGTTTCAAACTCCATTCTGTTTGTCTAATATGAAACTAAATTACCTTCCCCAGGCAAGACCCAAAACAATCTCATCCTATTGCATGATTCACCTTCATCTGTATCGTCCAGTGTAATTTGCCAGCTTGTACTGACAATGGAATCCTTCCCCATGTGGTCAATGTTGAGGGACAGTGGAGAAATCGTGTGCCCATCTCATGAGTACAGTGTCTCATTGTCCAAGCCGTCCGCCTCAGGCTTTGAGGTTCAAATCCAGGTCTGGAGAAGGGAAAGGTTCATATCCAACCTTGTCATCTTTCCTTCTGTAGTATATCCGTGTCAGCACAGTCAGCAGGAAAGTCTCCAGTATCAGGAGGTGGCAATTCATCACTGCAGTGCGGGGTGAAATGTAAAGTTGGTTATACTAAGTTATAGCGGTGGTATCCCACCAGCAGCCCTGGCATGTCAGTGGGACAACACTTTCTGTAATTTCTCCTCACACCAGCACCTAGAGGCTGTTGTGCGTGAGTAACATAGCAGGTTAATAGTAAAGCCCCAACCAGAACCTGACTCTCAACCTTCTGCAACCTGAGGCTAGCATTAAAAGTCATTTCTTTTGTGTGTTTTATCAGCATGATCTCTCCTTCCCAACCACACCCATTCCTCTCCCAAGAGCTAAGGATGAACCCATGGCTTTCTTGGTTGGCCGTCAAGGCTGGCCTCAAGCCGTGGAACTGTAGCTCTCCTCTGTGTGATCAGAGAAGGCGAAGTCTCCTTAAATCTCTGCTGAGATCTTTGGAGATCCCTTTCTGAGTATTCGGAGCAGCAGCTTGCCTGGCCCAACCTCTGATCTAAGGTCCTCTCTTCCCTGACCCACCTCCTCTCACCCATCCTGGAAAGAGATAGGAACTTCTATGTGCTCACCTTGAGACCTGATTTTAGAGGAAAAGGGAGGCGAACAAGCAATCTGCCCGCCATTGGCCAACACCGAGAAGATGGATGGCTGCAGGGCGGTCAGGATGAGGAGCACCTGCGGAAGGGAAAAGAGAAGCGAGGGCAGAGTGGGCTCAGTGTCCATGGCGCTGAGGTCAGCTGGCCCACTGCCATGCTTGTCCTGCCGCTGTGCATTCGGCCAGCCTTTAGATCGCTGCAGTTCCAGAGCGTTGATTAAAATGTGGTGACGTTTGTAATCTTTAGAGAAATTACAACCTCATCTTCCTACCCAATATTTTATTAGAGTTCCTGACAAGAAACAACAAAAACTGATTGGGGGGTTCAAGTTTATCCCCGTATTTCAGCCATGGCTGCTAATGAGCACTTAAAGAATAGAAAGGATGGATGATTAGGGAAGAGTCAGTCCATCTACTTCAAGTACCTGAGATCCCTGCCGATAGAATGATGGACGGTTCACTATTAAAGTGCCCCTTGAAGAATCTCTGCTGTGCCAGGGCTGGAGGCAAAGGGGAATGAGTGTTCAATGGGTACAGACTTTCCGTGGGGAAGATGAAAACCTTCAGGGGATGGATGGTGGCAATGGTTGCACAACAATGTGACTGCACTTAATGCTGCTGAACTGTACATATATAAATGGTTAAAATTGTAAAATTTATGTCATATATACATATGACACACACACACACATATATATGTTATAACACAATAAAATAAAAAAAGAAGAAGAAAATAATCTCTATCCAGAGGCCCCAGGAGCACTATTTGCCTTAGTACTTGTCCCCCCGAGGCAAGGCAGACCCAGCTTGTCCAGGCTTCCCCACAGGCTCAGCAATGACAGGCTTTTACCTGTGCCTGACCCTAAGGGCTTCTGCCCCTCTGTCCCTGACCCCATTTCAGGCTCATCTCTCTCTTCCCCTGCCCACTTCAATTCTACCTGCTATATGCCTGGAAATTCACATTTCAGAGGCATCTGCTTAGAGCAAGTGAGAATTTATGTGAAACCACTCTTTTAGCTAAAACGCAGTTATTGTTTCTTGGAAGTAGAAGGGCCCAGCAAGGAGACAGAAAGAATGGAGAGAGAAGGAAAACACAATATTGCATTTGGTGGAAAAGTTGTCTTTGGACTTGGAGAATGAAAAGTGTAAAAAGCAAACATGCTTTTGAGAGAACTTTCAGAAGAGGTATGATGATGAGAGGTAGTATGAAGAGAAGGAATGTGGGTTGGGAGTTAGACAGATCTGGGTTTAAATTCTAGCCGCATTCCTGTGTGCCTTGGAGCAAGTCTCATAACATCTCTGGATCTCAGTTTTCTTATTTGTAAAATAAAAATAATGACTCCTAAGATTATTGTGAATATTTAAATGTAATGTACAAAGCCATGGCCAGGTGGCTCAGTTGGTTGGAGCATTGTCTCACATTCCAAAAGGTTGTAGGTTTGATTCCTCGTCAGGGCACATACCTAGGTTGTGGGTTTGATCCCCAGTTGTGCATACGGGAGGCAACCAATCAATATTTCTCTCTCACATTGATGGTTCTCTCCCTCCCCAACCCTTCCTCTCTCTCTCTCAACATATCTTTGGGTGAGGACTTTTTTTTAAAGTACTGTATGAAAAGTGCCTAGCACATGGTGTGAGTAATTCATAGTTGTAGCTGAGATAATGCTCATACTGCTAGTGGTGATGGATGATAGGATTTTAGGAATAATAATAGAAAAGAAAAAAAGCAAAGACAGAAGCAGTTAAGGTTATGGGTTGAATTGTGCCCCCAAAACAGATATGTTGAAGTCCTAACCCCCAGTATCTCAGAATATGATCTATTTCAAAACAGCATCTTTGTTTTGGTTAACTAATTATATGTCATTAATTAAGATGAAGTCATACCGGAATAAGGTGGGCCCTTATCCTTTTTAAAAAATATATTTTTATTGATTTCAGAGAGGAAGGAAGAGGGAGAGAGAGATAGAAACATCAATGATGAGAGAGAATCATTGATTGGCTGCCTCCTGCATGCCCCATACTGGGGATCGCGCCTGCAATCTGAGCACGTGCCCTTGACTGGAATCAAACCTGGGACCCTTTAGTCCACAGGATGACGCTCTATCCACTGAGCCAAACCTGCTAAGGCGGTGGTCAGCAAACTCATTAGTCAACAGAACCAAATATCAACAGTACAACGATTGAAATTTCTTTAGAGAGCCGATTTTTTAAAACTTAAACTATATAGGTAGGTACATTGTTATTAACTTAATTAGGGTACTCCTAAGGCTTAGGAAGAGCCCCACTCAAGGGGCCAAAGAGCCGCATGTGGCTCGCGAGCCGCAGTTTGCCGACCATGGTGCTAGGGCATTATTCTCATATGACTGATATCCTTATAAGAAGAGGCAAAGAGACAGATGCGTGAGGGAAGAAGGCCATGTGATGACTGAGGCAGAAGTAGAGTGAGGCAGCTGCAAGTTGAGGAAGGCCGAGATTGCTGGCAAACCTCCAGGAGCCAGGAAGAGGAAGGAAGGGTTCTCCTCTACAGGTTTCAGAGGGAGGACAGCCCAGCTGACATGTTGATTTTGTACTTCTAGCCTCCAGAATTGTGAGAGAATAAGTTTCCGTTGTTTTGAGCCACTCGGTGGTATTTTATCACAGCAGCCCTAGCAAACACAAAGCAAAAATAGCACAAACAGCAAAATCTGGGAAGGGGCAGGGATCACTTTCCAAATCTCACAGGAACCTAAGGCTTCAGGAGATTCCCAGACCCCTTTGAGCCTGTATTAGACTCATCTCCTAACCCAGCCGTGGGCAAACTACGGCCCGCTGGCCGGATCTGGCCCGTTTGAAATGAATAAAACTAAAAAAAAAAAAAGACCGTACCCTTTTATGTAATGATGTTTACTTTGAATTTATATTAGTTCACACAAACACTCCATCCATGCTTTTGTTCCGGCCCTCCGGTCCAGTTTAAGAACCCATTGTGGCCCTCGAGTCAAAAAGTTTGCCCACCCCTGTCCTAACCCCAATTATTTGTAGTTCTATTATGAGCCATCTTTTCTCGCTCAGGGTATAGTTACCTGGAACAGAGCAAATTTGGCCCCGATGTTCTGCTCGCCCAGGTGCAGCTTGGCTTGACGGAAAAGGATGGCCAGGCTCCAGAGAGCCAACAGGGTGGACACACCGAGGACAGTGTTGATCCATAGAGCTGTGCTCTCCTCAGAAATCTGGTGGCAGACCAAGTGGAAGTCAGTGAGGGAGACAAGCCCTTTCCCTCCCTTTTATTTCTTCCCCCAAGGGGATAACAATGCCATAGCCCTGGCTTATTCCAGTCTCCTCTCTCCCACCATAGTGCCCGAGCCTCTGTTCTAGGTCACTCTGTCCCCAGGTATCAGGGGATATTGGCTCCAGCTATTCCTTGTAGAGCTCAAAGGTACCAAATGAGCCTCGGAGTTCACT